TGTAATATACCTTGGTAAGTGATCTTCTTGGTTCACAGAACTCCTGTTTTCCTCACAAGGGAATTGGCTGTGATCATTTGTGATTCCCAAAGGACTCATGTCCTGAAATAGACTCTGAAATTTTTATTAACAAAAGTTTCATATTTGCATATCTGGCATTTTGCATTCTTTTTGTATGCTTTTCAATGTAGCATCTATCATAAAGATCATTAAATTGTACAGATGGTGCTTATGCAACACAATTTAATGTCCCAGCAAGAACTAGTGATTTGTTAATACGCTGGATTTTTCCAAATTTTAAATGTTTGGAGGGCAAATAGTCACCAATATAGTTGTGGCACCAGACTATGGATTCTTCGTAATATCAGACTATAGCTTAATGTCTAATATAATATAGCTATACAATAAAAGTTTATTTATTTATTTATTTATTTGAGTTGGAGTCTCACTCTGTCACCCAGAATGGAGTGCAGTGGTCATTCCCGGCCACTGCAGCCTCAACTTGCTGGGCTCCTGCGATCCTTCCGCCTCATCCTTCCCAGTAGCTGGAACTACAGGCGCGCGCTAAAAAGTTTATTTTTTAAATGGCATAATCTGAGTTATAAATATGTGTGTTTGTAATGGATTCAAATATTTAAAAATACTATAATTTAGAGATTTGAAGGGAGAAGTGCTGGAACGGGCGAAAAAAATATTTCCCTCTGCTCTTTGGCCAAGCATCAGTCATTTATTTCATTTGCTTTTCTATTTCCTAAGGGTTCTTAGTCTCAAGCAACAGAAATGAATTCTAGTTGATAGAAGCAAACAAGGAATGAATTGAAATTGTACTAGGTAGCTCATGGAATAGATAGGAAGTTTAAAGAAGGGAGTTCAGGCAATGGGCAAGATAAAAGGTGAGCCACCAGCCTGAAAGAATTTTCTAAAATGCTGTGTCTTCAAAATGCTTGGCAGGTGCATGTGCCCAACAGAACTGAGACTGCATGCCAAGCCATAGCTTCCGGGGATTTGGAGAAGCAAGTATCTGGCATTTCCCAGCTTCTATGATGAGATGTGGCTCTGCCTCTCACTATAGTAATATGGGAATTCCCCAATGATGGAAAGGCATTCATTCACAAGTTGAGAGCCAAATATATGAGTCTGTTACATTTCCTACCTGGCCAAAACTCCAATCTGTAGCATTCCGAATTTCCCTCTCTCCTTTGACTTTTTGCCATCCCTGTTTTGACAATCCTTAACACTGAATAAACACAGCCATTGCTTATTTTGGGTTTCAGGCAATTAAAAACTGCTGACAAAGCACATACAAGTGGTCCTCTTTGGTCTATTCCTAGTAAATTCAATTAATACAATGACTCTAAACCCATTGCTAACCATTCTGCCCCACACCCCTCACACACATACCCGGTAGAAATTTAATTCTGTATCCGTCTTCATTTTCCACAGTTCCTTCACAAATCATTTCTATTTTTCTGAGGTCCCACCCACACTTCACCATCTCTATCAATGGTCCTTCCTTCAACTGGGAATACTAGGCCATCTGATGCAAACTCACTCAACTTCTCTCTCTCTCTCTCTCCCTCCCCCCGACCTCAAAATTTCTTCTTGTCTTTACCATCCCATCCTCCTGCCCTCTATTCCTCCTTCTTCCCAAGACTAACTGGCCAGCAATACCAATCTGGAGCCCTCTGGTCTAATCTTTGCCTAATAATTACCTTCCTTTAGACTTTGCCTAATAATTACCTTGGCCTCACTTCCCTGCTATCTAATTTCCTCTGACCCCAAAACATTCAGGTCTCACCTGACCTAAAAATCCTTCAACTAGACCCTGCCTCCCATGGGCTATCTTCCTGTTCCCCAACCTTCATCTTTCACATCCAACGATCTGAAATAAGAAGTTTGTATTCATGGGTGCTTCTCTGCCACCTCTGACTTGTACCTTACCTCTGATAAGTGTTTCTAGGCTCACCCTCCTGACACACACTGCACTCTCAATGCCACTCATAGCTTTCTTAGTCTGTATCCTCCTTGACCTCTCAGAAACACGTGATACTGTTGAAAATCTCTTTCCTCCTATTGTGGGTTGTGGTACAAATACCTCCTTATTCTTCCATCTCAGATGATACTTTATCAGTCCCCTTTGCTGTGCTCTCTCCTCTTCTTGTTCTATTTTCTTATCTTGGCTAGTTCTCTCTCTCTCTCTCTCTCTCTCTGTCTCTCTCTCTCTCTCTCTCTCTCTCTCTTTGGTTGCAAAGTAGATGGCATTCAAATGTATGTCCCAATCTTGTTTTTTCTTTTCTGAAGTTCGGTTCTTTCCAACTGATCATTTCCAAAAAGTGTCCAGGATAAGAAAATAGAACATTCTCCATCCCATCTCCCTTTCTTGCCATAACACCTTTAAGAAACTTATTGTCACTGGGCTCGGTGGCTCAGCCTGTAATCCCAGTGCTTTGAGAGGCTGAGGTGAGTGGATTGCCTGAGCCCGTGGATTCAAGACCCACCTGGGCAACTTGGTGAGACCTCATCTCTACAATAAAATCAAAAAAATTAGCCGAGCGTTGTAGCACATGCCTATAGTTCCAGCTACTTGGAAGGCTGAGGCAGAAGGATCGCCGGAGCCCAGCAGGTCAAGGCTGCAGTGAACAGGAGTGTGCCACTGCACTCCAGTTTGGGTGACAGAGTGAGACTCCAACTCAAAAAAAAAAAAAAGAAAAAAGAAATTTCTACAAAACATAAATTTTACCATTTCAACCACTTTTAAGGTACAGTTTGATGACATCAAGTATATTCCCACTGTGGTGCTCCATCATTCCTTTTTTTTCCCCCCCTTGCTATGTTGCTCAGGCTGGTCTCAAACTCTTGGGCTCAAACAATCCTCTTGCCTTGGCTTCCCAAAGTGCTAGGATTACAGGAGTGAGCCACCATGCCTGGCTCATCATTCCTTTTTAATATCTACATAACTTGGGGGGAAAGGACCATTTCTGCTTCACTTGTTTATTCCTGGGGCCTGCCCTACTTCCATATCATTGGTCAAGCCTGGAGCATAGTGGTTACGAACATGGGCTCTCAGATCATGGAGAGTCTGATCTGAGTTTAAACCCCAGTTTCAGACCCTGGTTGAGGCCCCCAACCTCCCTGATCTAATTTTCCTCATCTTGGTATTCTCTACTTGTAATGGATACACAGTCACTCTGCTGAAGTAATAACAGCTTTATTTATTTGTGAGCAACTCCTCCTTAAATAAATTGTCCTGCTAGGGCTCCTGTTGGACGTAAAAAGAAACTGATATGTTTGAAGAAAGTGAGGGGTCTTAGCCAGAAAGTAGAAGTTCCTGTTATATTGGAGTAGCATGTGGAATCTGGAATTGGCTTAGGTTTATGAAACAAACAGCTCCACCTATACCTGTTATGAAAAAGAAGGGAAAACAATCACTCAGTAAAATTATTTTGGTGACTGCTTTCATCTTTGGTTAGAGTGGTAATTCCTTATCAAGTGACAGGTAAAATCTCTGTGGAAATTGAAAAGGCAATTTAGTTGTATTGAAAGAATTTGCCCAGGAAGTAGGTGATTTGGGGATATTTGACGTGCATACCTTTTAAAATGTCATTAAGTCCTACATTTATAAAATCATCATGGATCTAAAGAGGACACTTTTTTTGTTAGTGCTTATTTCATTTTATGGAGAAAAGTTTGCTTATGAATGTTGGGAATTCTAGCTGATACCTTCTGAGTGTTAAGGGGCATTTTGTTTGTTTTTGGCATTGATTTCCTTTTGGACTGGGTCTTATCATTTCTCACATCTAGTCCAGGGTCTGTCACAAAAGTGACAGGATAGGACCACACATATCCTGTTTTAGTAAAGAACAGGTGAAGTATTTTTGCGACTGGATCCTACTTTCCTTCCAGAAACCGTGCACAGAAGTAAAGACCCTCAAAGGATCTTCAAGGATTCTGTGGTTTCAACCTAGAATAAGAGCAAACGTCTGTGGTGCCCTTTACAAAGCACCTTTATCGTATTCATTTCTAATGACACCTCTGTGAGGTAACTGTTGTGATCCTCCATTTTTTTCAGAAGAGGAAACTGAGGTTCAGAGTGGTCAAGCGAGTTGTCCAAGGTTTCACACCCAGAACTACAAACTCTTGGCTGCCTTTCCAAGTCACGTTTGGCCTCACCAGAAGGGTGGCCTATTTGGAATTATACCCTGGCCAAGGCTGACTTGATGTTTGAGGAAACGGTCATCTTAAGCATATGGGCCATGTGGGCGAGGCAGCCCTCCCCTCTTAGAAATGTCCCCACGTGGAGCCCAAGCGTCTGTCAGGAGCTGGAAGGAGCCCCGAACACTCGGTGGCCGCAGCCCGCACGTATCCGCAAGTGCTCGGGTGCTGCGTTCGGCCGGAAGCCCCTCCGCTGGCATCTGACGCGGCCCCGGCCAGCGCTTGTCCCCCGGGCGCGCCACGCCAGCCGTGCGCCCTA